AATTATTTTCAAAAAATTATTTTTAAAAAACACACTCTAAGAAATTAACTGGTAACACAGAATTTATACCATTGAAAATAAACTTCCAAACTAAATGTGAAATGGCAAAGTTTTCAGTCAAACAAAAACTGAAGGAATTAATTTCCAGCAGACTTACACTAAATAAAAAAAAGACACAGCAATAAAAGAATACATAAAAATAGAATATTAACCTAAAAGAAGAAAATGAATATAAAACATAAGTCTACTAAATAAATGCTGTAGACATAATAGTAATATAGTAGATATAAATTCATATGTATCTGTAATCACATTAAACATAAAGAGACAAAACTTCAACTAAAAAATAAGAATATCAAACTAGATTTTTAAAACTTTAATTATTTATGGAGGCAGCAGGTGGAGTGGTGGTTGGGGCACTGGACTCCCACATGGCCAATCACAATTTGAGTCCTGGACCCAGAGGCTTGAGATTGACACAGGGTGCATATGCATGTGTGCCCAAAATCCTAAGAGAAGAAAGGAGGACAAGGGATTCTGGTGTGGTTATCCTCCTTGGGCAGTGATTACTTGTTTTTTTGTCTCTCTGTCTCTGTCTCTCCAGTGAGTGCACGTCCCCTATAGCAAAAGTCTCTGTCTAAAAAAAGAAAAGTTTAGTTATTTATTTTTTCCATGAGCTAGACAGAGTCAGACAGCACTCACAACAGTGCCCTTACACCACGATCCACCCCCGAACTGTAGTCAGTCCTAGATTATAGGCATGCATGTGTGTGGCATACTCAAGGGGGTCTCTGGACTTGAACTGACAACCTTTCCATTTAGGATTGCCTTGTAGAGCACTGTGTTTAACAACTACACCACTGCCTGGCCCCCAAGAGACTAGTTTTTTTAGTGTTAATTTGTTTATTCAATTCCATTTGTCATTATTTTTAAATTTGTCACGAGAGAGAGAGAGAGAGAGAGAGAGAGAAAGGGAAAGGGAAAGCGAGAAAGCAAGCCGCCAGGCCCAGGACTTGAACTGAGGTCGGCCATAAAGTATCCAGCGCCTCTAACCACCACACCACTTGCTAGCCACAAAGACTAGACTTTTTAAAGTACATTTTTATCTGGCAATACAATGGAAAAATTATGATTTCTTCTTAGCTTAGACGAGAGCATAGAGGATAAGAGACTAAAAGAAGAAAAACATGAGGATACTTCAAAAGGCTTGTGGAAAAAATCAAATTAAACTTTGAGTTCACTTTGGTGTAAAATATTTTGAAATATAGGTACTTTCTTGTAATATGCATTTTTCAGGAGCTTTCTGAAGAACCCTTGTATAAAATAAATCACAATTCACTTGTAGATCAAAAGTAAATAAAATATAATCAAAAAAGTACAAGTTAATTCCAGCTATCATTTGTTGACAATCCACAATGCCAAACTTTGCATACACTATTTCTAATCCTCTTATTAACTCTGAAATTAAGCTCAGTTTACACTTAACAAACTCAGTCTCTGAGAGCTTTGACTGCATTTGCCCAAAACCACACTACTTTTTAAATGAAGCCTTTCCAGTCTGTTTCTGTGCCTTTTTGAAAATGCTGCATCATTAATAACTACCTAATATTTTAAAGTATTTACATAGTAATTAGTGATTTGTAGAAGTACAAAGTTAACCTTTTTAAAACATGTAAATGGGGGCTAGGAGATGGCATAGCAGTTATGTCGCTGGACTCCCACATGGCTGACTGCTATCCAAGTCCCAGCCCTAGAATTTGGCTTAAAACACATGCTGGGCACGTGTGCATACATGCCCAAGATCCCTGAGGTAGTGGAGGAGAAGGGACTATGATATGGCCATCCCCTCTGAGGGGTGATTTCTCATTTTCCCTCTCACTATCTCCTTTCCCTGGTAAATGCACGTGCCCCATGACAAAAACCTCTAAAAAAAGTAAACGACAAAATGACAAATCTATGTTTAATTCTGACACTTAATAAACTTGACTTTTAAAAGCACATATACTTGATGTTTGCTTTATATAATTCTCTTTCAGATTTATGCAAGTATCTTATGGAGTACAAAGTCCTTTAAGTTTATCAGTAAAAGGAAATGCTAAAGTTACACACTGAGAAGGTACATAAATTATTTAAAATAGTTGGGGCCAGCAGATGCATAGAGGTAAAGGTAGCTGAATCCCACATGACCACCTGTACCATTTGCAGTTTCAAGTTCTAGACCTGAGGCTTGAAAAACATGCTGGGCATGCATGTGTACATGCCAAAGTTCTAAGAGGAGAACGGAGAAGGGATTGCAGCATGGCCATCTCTCCTGGGGGGGAAGGGAGGTGGTGACTTCTCACTTTCTCTGGAGAGTGTGTGTGTATAATTATAAAATAACACAGTTAAAATACTTGAGTGCAGCCCAGCTACAGTAGTGTGTGCTAACTGATCCTGCTAATCATCACTGAGGCCTCATATGAAGACTGGGTTTCATTTCTGGTCTAGCCTAAAAGCCAGGCTGAGTAGTGTGTGTCTGTAGTCCCAGCTACTCAGGAGGCTGAGGCAGGAATATCACACGCTCATGGCCAGCATGGGCCACACAGCAAGACATTGACTGAAAAAGCGAAGTATGGTGGCACGCACCTGTGGCTTCAGCTCTTCAGGAAGTTACAGCAAGATCATGATGTAGCAACACCCCGTATTAAAAAAATGCCACACACGCTTTCATTGGACTTGTCCCATTAAAAGCAACTTCTCTCAGCTCTGTACAGTGAAACCCGGACACTTTGTGTATTTTTATGTACTCTGAAAGACAACTGAGAATGTTGCCTTAGGGACGTATACCAGCAGTAAAAATGTTCCACAAAGCATTTTTATTTCAAATGGCAAAAAAAAAAAAAAAAAAAAAAAGGGGACAAGCAATCTCAATTAATAAAAGGCAGAAAGTTGTGTTGTAGTTTATTCTGGTTACATAAAACATAAGAAGTTTAAGATCCAAATGATCTAGTCTTTGGTTTTATTTATTTATTTATTTATTAAAGGGGCACATGCCCTTCCCAGAGAGAAAGGGAGAGAAAGACCCAAAAGGCCATGGCCATGCCACGACCCCATTTCTTCTGCTTTACCATCCCTTTAGGATTCTGGACACATACACACATGGCCAGCATATTTTTCAAGCTGCCAGGGCTGGGACTCAAACCATGATTGGTCATGTGGTCTCTGGCTGTTAAAGCACAGCACTTAACCAGTCTCATGTGGGGCCAGTGTCTCAGATCATTTTTAAAGAAAAGTTTCATAAAGATGAGACTCCTTCAACCAGCATCACCACAGGCAGGTAACAGAAGAGAACATACGGAAGCAGGCAGAGGCTACAGATGTCAAAAGTCAGTGCAAGGAGTCTGTGAGCTGAGTTTACATAACAAGGGAAAGAACAGCAATAACTCTTCCTAGGTAATACCAGGTATAGATAAGTCCTTTCCATCCCTCTCCAACCAACGTCCACAGGAGATCCTCTCCCCAGTCCTTCATAATCAATCTCTCACATTCCAATACATCCAAAGGTACTTGCCTCCTTTTTCTTCCTCTCATTTCTTTCCTTCATTCTATTTCTAATCAATAATTTACTTTTCTTGGTTGGACATCTAACCTGTCCAAATTCCCAAATGTTCTCCTTTCTCCTTTCTGTTTCGTTTCTCCCTTCCGTTTGCACATCTTTCTCTCAGTCTCTCTCACGCTCTTTTTCTTTTTTTTAATGATATTCATTCTGGTTAATTAAGGAGATTTTAGATTGACATGGAAAAAATTGAATTGAGTGTGGCTCTCTAATTTCCCTCGTTATCAGTTGCAAAACGCATGCCTATGTCAGGAGATGCCTCATTCACGAGAACTGAAAGGTTCACTATTCACAAATGAGTTTACTGAAATAAAAATGAATTGACAAATTATTAAATATATGGACCCATTCAGGACCATCACCTCAATCAGTATTTCCCCATGTTTATTTCTTAAAGTAATAGTTCAAAAAGGTACTTCACATAAAAATAATGGTTTCACAGTAAATTCACAAAGCACACTAAGCACTTAAAGAGTCTAAGAAATCCTAAAATAAAGAAATGCTTAACTTTATTATCCAGTTATTCTCAAACTTATTATGTTAATTGACTCTTTTCCCCCCACACACATACCTTTTAATCCTATATAACATTATTTAACATGCATTTAGGAAATGTTCCTCCTAATCACTGATTGAAATATACTAAGAATTATATACTAATCAAAGTATTGTACTTAACCCTGTAGCCTGAATAGTTTTTAAAATGTTGCTGCCTTTGGAAAAACAAAAATGAATTTACACAGAAAAATAATGACCAAGTTGCTAGGTGGAAATGACCCATTTTAACTACTACATGTATATTTACCTTACCTAGATTCATTTAAAAATGAAGACTGTAACCACCAATTATGATTTTGGGGAAAGGGAAGTGAAGAACAAAATCTTCCTTAAAAGTATATCGAATGGAATAGAGCATTTTACAAATATTAAGATTTTAAGACTGGGGCCAGCAGGAGGCGTGGTGGTTAAGGGTGCTGGACTCCCATATGGCCAACTGCAGTTCAAGTCCCAGACCCAGCAGCTTGCTTTCTCACTTTCCCTTTCTCTCTATCTGTCTCTCTCACTCTGTACCTGTCTTGTCAAATTAAAATGAATGAATAAAAATAAATAAAATAAATAAAGTCAAATAAAATAATTATTTTAAAAAGATTTAAGACTACTTTAGTTTTCCATCATTAATTTTCAAGTTTGATTTTTTTTTTTTCCCAAACAGGAAAAAGAATGAGATTCTATGACTTACAAAGCTCAATAAATACCTAGGCATGCTACACTAAACTTTTCTGGAGGTATACTATACAACAATAAAAAATGTTACTGAAAATGTGTTAGCTTTCCTTCAAAGTGTACTATGAATTATTTAACTTATAGGCTTTAAAGAGTATATTTTAAAGTACACACATTTTACCTGAAAGCTCCGTAAAGTGGTCTGTACCAACAGACAAATGAACAAGGAGTAAAAAGCAAGAACCACAGGATACTCAGTCCAAAATCAACCCCTCTTGTGGGATCAACACAAAACCAAGCCAAGCATCCGAAGATATTTAGAAACAGTGTTACAGCATGGACTGTGGAATCAAAAAACAAAATAGAAAAGAAATATTTACATTAAATTTATGCATTCATCAAACAAAAATTATAAATGAAAAAATACTTCCTAATAGCAAATGCATTTTATCCCATGTTACCATTTAGTATCTTAAAAAACACTGCTGTTTCTTATACAATCAATTTGAAAACAGAGTATAAACAGGAAAGAGAGTCCTAATACATAGACTGCTTAGCAAAAATTCTGTGGGCTCTCTCCTCCTAACAGGCAAATTACACAGCTCAACCTTCCCTGAGAAGGAAACATGGGATATGTCTCTTGATAAAGGCCCAACAAGAAAAGTAGTGTCCTCTAGGAAGACACTACTAGACCCTGGACGTGGGAGGAAAGATCCTATACTCAGAATTGTTTCTATAGAACAAGACAGCAGACTAAAATATGGACTAAAAATACTAATACATTAGCAATTTTCAATGACTGTATAATCATTAACAATCAAACAGGATAAAAAAACAAATTCTAGAATGCTTTAAATTTGTTCTCATCTAACTACTAGGTAAATAAACAAACTCTAGAGTAAAAGAAAGAGCTCCAAAAGGAAGAGTGAATACACCTAGGTTGTAGTCACAGCACAGTAACGGCCAAGCATTTCATCTCCGTGAGCTTCAATTTTTCAGCTACTCAAATATTAGAGCTCTTCTGGCTTCAAAATTCCATTCCATCCCATCATACAAGAGGAGACTCTCACTAATTATTCTATTCCCATCAGCATTTTTTACAGGAAAGCTAGCTTACTAATAAATTTACTCAAAATCCTTTGCCTCAAAATTAAGGTGGCTAGACCAGCAGATGGCATGATGGTTAAGGGGCTGTAACCTACATGGCTGACTGTCAAGTCTTGGACCTGGCAGTTTGAAAGCCATGCTGGGTGCATGTGCGTGTATGCCCCAAATCCTTAGGAGAGTGGAGGAGAAAGGACTGTGATGTGGCCATCTCCCCTGGGGGGTGTTTGCTCACTCTGAGTCTCTCTCTTTCTCCAGCAAGCGCACGTGCTCTGTGGCAAAAACCTAAGGAAAAAAATTTTTAATTAAGGTGGCTATGCTAAAAGTTCAATGCAAAAGATTGTGAAACTGAAAATTATTATTCTGTAGCACCACATGCCCTGTCTGAAAATGTTTTAAACATTAAGGAAATTCTAAGTTAAATTTCTGTCTTGAGAGAAATCATTTTAAAAGGTTTATCTCCTAATCCACTTAAAGAAAGGAGGGCAAAATATATGTTTTAAAGTTCACAAAAAATTCTTCCGAGTTTAAATTAAAATATCAACTTAAATTTGTGTAATCTACTAAAAATATTTCTAAATGTTTTCATAGTAGCCAACAGTAATAATCAATAAGTTATTTACATGTACTCCAATGAAGATTTAAATATCTAAGGGTACTTATTGAACAATCTGTCCACTTGTGCAGAGATCAAAAAACACAGGTAAGGGGACCAGCAGTTGCTGTAATGGCTATGTGGCTGGACTCCCATGTAGCCAACCGAGGTTCGAGTCCTGGACCTGGTGGCTTAAACTCACGCCGGGCATGTGTGCATGTATGCCCAAGATCCTGAGAGGAGAATGGAGGAGAAGGGATTGCGGCTTGGCCATCTCCCTGAGGGGTCATTTCTTGCTTCTCTCTTTCTCTCTCTGTCTTTCTTCCAACCGCACATGCCTTATAGCAAAAACCTCTCAAAAAAAAAAAAAAAAAGAAAGAAAAGAAAAAGAAAAACACAGGGAAGGTAATATGAAATGCATGATTCTGTTTCTAATTTAAATGATCAATTAATCTATGCTGGTTGACTCCAAATATAGGTAGAACACTAAAGAAATATTAGGTCATTTTGTTTACTTAATTTGCAAGTTGAACAATTCTTTCTCATGTGAAATTTCTGTTAGCTCCATTAAGTACTCAAATTTTATTAGTGAACATAAATTTACAATTATCAGTACAATACTCTTCTTGATAAATTCTGAATTACAATACAGATCCTTACCTAACACACATAGACTTATATTGAATGTATCTTCTTTACCAAATAATCTTTAATGTAGCTGCCTTCTTTTTTTCTTTTTCTTTTTAATTCAAGAGTATACTGAAAGAGGGACCGGCAGTTGGCATAATGGCTATGTCACTGGACTCCCATGTAGTCGACCGTGGTTCGAGTCCCGGACCCAGTGGCTTAAACTCACAGCGGGCACATGTGCATGCATACCCAAGATCCCGAGAGGAGAATGGAGGAAAAAGGATTGTGGCGTGGCCATCCCCCTGGGGGGTGATTTCTCGCGTTTTGTTTCTCTCTGTCTGTCTTTCTGGCAAGCACATACACTCTATAGCAAAAACCTCTCCAAAAAAAAAAAACGAGTATACTGAAAGAGTGAATTAATTGCATAGCGATATTTCTAACTGCTTCGGTTCATTTATAGGATGAATTATTTTCTTCAGGAAAGGTACATTTGAAAGCACATCTTCATATTCAGTTTAAAATGTAAATTACTTCTTGTTGGGTGGTAGAACATAGATAGCTAGGCCCCATTCTCTAAAGTCAAGCTATCCAACTCTGATTTTTTTTTTTCTATAATGTTGGTCAAGTTACTTAAATTCTCTGCTTTAGTTTCCCTATCTGTAAAACAAAATAATATAATACCTGGTTCACAGTCTGGTTGATACAGATGTGTATATATATATGCAAAGTAATTAGCACTATGCTTAGCACAAGGTAAATTCTCAATGAACGTTAGGTCTCATTATAACTATTATTACTATAATAAAAACATTAGTCAACTCCCAAACCAACAGGTTGATACTTCTTGAAAACAACTTATTAAAACAGCTTATGGTCTATACAATTTAGGTACATTAGTAGGCTGGTAGTAAATCTTACTTTGTTCCAGGTAATGCTTCTTTTTTTTTGGAGAGGTTTTTGCTATAGGGCACGTGCGCTCGCCAGACAGACAGAGAGAGACATAGAGACAGAAAGCGAGAAATCACCCCCCAGGGGGGATGGTCATGCCACAATCCCTTCTCCTCCATTCTCCTCTCGGGATCTTGGGCACGCACACACGTGCCCGGCGTGAGTTTTAAGCCACTGGGTCCGGGACGCGAACCGTGGTCAACTACATGGGAGTCCAACGACATAGCCATTACGCTAACTGCTGGTTCCCCAGGTAATGCTTCTTCAAAACCCTAACTAGAGGGGCCAGCAGGTGGCATGGTTGTTAAGGCACTGGACTCCCACATGGCTGACCATAGTTGGAGTCTAGGAATTGCTAGCTTGTTTTCTTACTTTCTCTTTCTGTCTGTCTCTGGGCAGCACACGTGCCCTATAGCAAACTTAGAAAAATAATAACAAATGTTTTTAAATAAACATTTAAAAAAAAAAAAAAAGAAAGGAAAAAACCCCAAATAGTATCTAGAGTTCTCTTTGAATATAGTCAACAGATCTGCCAACTGAACAGGGTTAAGGAAAACCATAGTGAACTACTTTATTTCTGAAAAACTAGGAAGGTTATATATTTCTAACACATTTCTAATTGTCTAATAGCAGACAATTTTGAAATAATCAGCACTGCTCAAATAGTTAACCATTTAGTTCAAATTAACTATCTTTCCCATTCAATATCTATTAAATTCCTTGTCTAATTTTTTTCTCATCCCCATCCCCTCACCAAAAATATATTGTTCATTAAGTCAGAAAAGTTACACCTAAAATGCTAGGGCAATTCTACCCATTTAAAAATGGCATAAACATACACACACATATATATGTTTGTACACATATGTAAATATAACTGCACACTCTATTGATATATCTATTAGATGAAATATATGAGTTGGTTAACATGTACAAATATAAATCATATCTTAATATTAAATGAAATAGTACTACTGACACTGGCGATTTAGCAAAGAGACACTGTAAGTAAGAAGCAAAAATGGTAGTATCACAATAAAGAATTACTTCTCATAACCGAAACAACTTCACACACATGAAGAATGCTGCTAAAAGATTTTGAGGAAAATTATCTCATCTATTCCCACTTAAGAGTGTCACATTAAATCATAAAGTAAAAACATACACATTTCTTCTATCAAGAAGACATCTTAGTGCTTGCCTCAGTAGCACATATACTAAGATAGGAACACAGAGAAGATTAGCATGACCCCTTGCACAAGGATGACATGCAAATTTGTAAAGCTTTACATATTTTAAAAATAGAAATAATGTACTCTACAAAGTGTCCTTTAACCCGATGCCCGTACAGGTGAGAAACTATGATGTCTACACCTCCCCCTACTGACATAATGATAGCAAATGAGACTGAGGCTCCTGCTTGAAATCAAAATGAAACGGAAAGTGGGAAGTCTGTGTACACACAGAAAAACTGTTAACAGCCTGACATTTATTTTAGTTTTTCATGAGTTGTAATTATACTGAAAGCAATGTGAGCATCACAGTCTAAAACATATGTTCTAAATTTTTATTCAACAAAATATCCTATATTAATTGGGTTCTTTAAATAATAAAAATATTCACAACCATTTGAAAATGAAGAGTAAACCTCTCAAAGCTATAAAAAAAACTTAAGAGTTTATATTACAATATTTTATACTCCTTTTTTAAAATGCTCATAATGCCTATATTTAACATACTTTTTTTTTTTTTTTTTTGAGAGGTTTTCGCTATAGGGCGCGTGCGCTCGCCAGACAGACAGAGAGAGACATAGAGACAGAAAGCGAGAAATCACCCCCCAGGGGGGATGGTCACGCCGCAATCCCTTCTCCTCCATTCTCCTCTCGGGATCTTGGGCACGCACGCACACATGCCCGGCGTGAGATTTAAGCCACCGGGTCCGAGACGCGAACCGCGGTCGACTACGTGGGAGTCCAGCGACATAGCCATTACGCTAACTGCTGGTTCCTGATGTTTCATACTTTTTAGATGGCCTTCCTCTGCATAAAATGCATGTTTTCAAAGCAAATCATGCCTAGATAACACTGTCTGAAAAAAAAGAATCATTACAAAATTCTACCTGTGTAAAAGAGAGGTTGTCCTTACCTCAAAAGAATGCCAGTTCTTTTTTTTTCCAGTTCTAAATATACAGATTTTATTCAAAGATTTACATTGTCATTTATGTTACAACTGAAATACCTAAATATGATGCTTCATGCTAAAAATCGAAAATTAAGATATATCTATAGAAAAAGTCCAATTTACTACTCTAACTTTCACATCAGTTCCCCAAAAGGCAGATTTTGACAACAAAAATATAAACTATAAACAAATGCATAATTTGTTCTATACTCACACATCCACAAGTAGTACATAAGTTTTACTGTTTTTTGGAATTCTACAGGAATGTCTACAGAAAAATCCTGATAGAAACAAGGTCCCACAGGAAAATTGCCAGGAAGAGGGGGCCAATTATTTTTTCTGCCTGTAAATTAAAAAAAAAAAAATTATTTATATTACAATAAATATATACTGTTCTTTTTTTGTTTTTATATTAAAGAACTCTACTGTTTTAATGGATATTACCATAAAATGTAACACACCATCTTTACATTCTTACAACTTTGAAAGTCAAGCTTTATATTTTTTAAAATCTTCTCAGAATATAACTTTAGAAAACCTTAGATGGCGAAGTAATTTCCAGTGTCATATTGTATGTTTAGCAGGATGCGTTTATACACAGGATAAACAAGAAAAAGAAGGAAAACGCAAGGCTACACACCCTGTGACTCTGCCCGAAAACCCATTTACTTCTTTCAAAGGTCTGTGAGTCCACCATGGAAAGGCCATTCAGTTTTTGAACCTCAATTTCCTCGGCATCTTAAATCTTTAAATATAATCCTGTTTTAATTACTGACCCATGTGAAGAGGGAACAGCAGCTTCTGAATATTTAAAGTTTCCTACTGTTAACTCCATGAAGAAATATAAGATTAAACGAACCAAAGAATCAAATTAGGAAACCTCGAAGTCTGGAAAAAAGTAATAATATCCAAAGACACATATAAGACAGTCATAAAACTATGAGAAAACATGAAATAGACATGAGAAAGAATGTGAGGATTAGAGCACCTTCAAAACCTAGAGAGAAATAAGTTCAAAGTATGAGAAGAGAAAATGTCTCTATCTAAAGAAATTAGATTGAAAATAAGTTTTGTGAAATGATGAGGAAAAATTAAAAATAAAGCAATCAGAACACAAAAATATAGGGTAGAAACATCACCTAAAGCCCAATTTCTAATCTTAGGTATTATATGCCAAAACTTAAAAAAATTCAATTTTCCATACTCTTTATAAACAAATAAAATTTTCACAGTAGGAAAAAAGCATGACCCATTCCTGATTCTCCCTGACATGCCTCCTCTACAATATTTAGCATACTATTTTAATTTCCTGTATGGATTTCATAGATGTCTCTTACCAGTCTCACCCTATTTGAGAAGCAACAGAGAACAGCAATAAAAACAGAGGCCCTGGAGCCAGAAGTGCTTAGTCACTTACTGGGTTAGATTGCCTTGGACAACATACTAACCTCTCAGGGCCTTAGTTTCTAGATTTTTAAAATGAGAATAATAACTGTACTAACCTTCACAGGATCACACAGAGGATTAGATATGATAACAGATGAACAGTACAAAAATGTACTAATATACTGCAAGTCTAAATCTAGTAATTTCCTCTTTACACCTCTCATAGAAATTATGTGTATTAGTCAATGCTAAGGAAATAGGATAGATTTTGGTTACAGGTATTTCAGAAACATTGACCCTAATTAAATCTTTAGTTTCCCCTTCTAGAGATGCTGTCTCTGATGTGGAAGAAAGAAAAGGATCCAGGATAAATAAGTCCCCATGAGGCCCTAGGTGTAACACATTCTAAGATAAGAAATAGTTGAATACACAATTTTTTTGGTCGCTATCTCAGACATCCTAGCAATGACTCATCTGGCTCTTACCTCTGTTTACCCAAAGATTGCTAGCTTTCCCAAGATACTCCTTTGAAGTGATCTTTGGTCTGTACAGGTTTGACAGCAAATAATTTAGCACTTACCTATTTTTCTGGCATCATATAAATATCATTGGCTTCTAAGGGTCACCAAAAACCTATTTTTATAACATAGTTGGACAACTTTGATATACTTGTGAGAACCAGGACAGATTACTTGAAACTGGCCTGAATAAATCAGGAAAGAGTCAAATGTAGAGTACACTCAAATGGACCTCATAAAGATTCAACAAACCCAAAGAGGGCTCAAGGGCAGAATCAGAGGCTCCTGGCCTTAGAATAAACCAGAATGATCAGATTCACATTCACTTTCTGGACCAAGAGGCTAACGTTGTTCTAATCTATCCATTGACTATGTAGATCAGAGAGCTACAGAATACCACGTGAGCAATCTGCGGTGTCTGGTGTCGTTGCCTGAATGGGAAAACAGGGCAGAGTTTTATCCACAAAGCAAATGACCTAGAACTAGTATAGACGTAATTTAAAGTGTTTAAAAGGTTGTTTTATTTCAGAGTTCTTCAGATATTACCATGTTGACTGAGGTTCTGCATTTCTCGTTCTCGACGATCTAATTCTGCAGCTTTTCTTTCTAGTTCTTCCTGGCGCTTAAGAAGTTCAGCTTGAGCCAAGGCATGTTCCTAAACAAAAAAGCATCACTATAAAAATAGGTTGTTAAGAGAAAACACTGGACATATACATGCTATCTCCTATTTCTCTCTCTGTTTTGATAGAAATCTAATTCAAATGTGCACCCAAAATACAGAAATTCATTGAAGATGATAGTTCCAGAAAAGATTATGGGGACATCTGGCCCATTTTGAAATTCTGGTCGTGAAAACCCTCAGTGGGGATGTTGGGCCTAGGAGAACTGGAAAATCTCGCCTCAGTAACAGTAGTCGGAGGCCTAAAGTAGTCCAGGAAATGAACGTACAGTTACTTGAGTCTAAATGAAGTGAAGAATAAAGGCAAGAGGAACAGGTGAGGAAAACAGAAACAGAAAAAAGGGAAACCGAATTGGCTCTTATAAATTGAGAAAATGAGAAATAAAGCTCCCAGTGAAAAAATATTTTTTATATCTTAAATGTGATAAGGTAATGAAGCAAAAGAAGGATATGTTAAGAAATGTTGGTTTGGGAGCCAGCAGGTGGCATAGTGGTTAAGATGCTGGACTGCCACATGACTGACTACAGTTCAAGTCCCAGGCTTGGCAGCTTGCTTTCTCACTTTCCCTCTCTCTCTGTCTCTCTCTGGTGAGCATACGTGCCCTACAGCAAATTCTAAAATAATAGTACTAATAATAAATTAAATAATTCTTTATTTAAAAAAAAAAAAGAAATGTTGGTTTGGAGTCAACTGGTGGTATGGTGGTTAAAGGGGCTGGATTGCACATGGCGGACTATGCGATTCAAGTCTTAGACTTGGGAGCTTGAACGACATGCACAGCTCATATGTGTGTGCACCCAAGATTCCAAGAGGAGTATGGAGGAGAGGGGATTTCAGCGTGGCCATCCCCTGTTCCAGGAATGCTTTCTCACGTTCTCTCTCTTTCTTTCTGTCCCTTTGTCTTTCTCCAGCAAGGACATACAGCCTATAGCAAATTTTAAAAAATAAAGAAGAAAGAAAAGAAAAGAGATTCTTGTTTTTAATTCCATTTGCCCATATGTGATACCAGGCTTCTTATCTCTCCCTTTTTTTCAACTTCTGTCATCTTCTACCTCCTATCACTATCCACTGCTTAGCCATTATAACTCACTCTCAATGACATCTATTATTCTGTCCTTGTTACTGTAATGGTACTGTGAATTAAAAGACAGTAAAAATTTCCCTATTCAAACTGTACACCAAGATGACATACGAATTTAATAATTCCTAATAATGGAATAAAGCAAATGTAATAAGATGACAAAAAGGTATGAGTACTTACAGGGTGACAAAATAGCTAATACAGACCCAAAATAGAGTTAAAAATTAAGTAAGAAAAGCAATGGGTAAAGAATTAGTTTCCTGGACCAGCAGATGGTGTAGGGGTTATGTTGCTGTACTCCCACATGGGCGACCACGGTTCAAGTCCTGGAACTGGTGCTTGGATGCTTCAAAATCACACCGAGTGTGTGTACATATGTTCCCAGGATCCCAGGAGGTGGGTAGAGAAAGGACTGCAGGGTTGTCGCCCCACCCCCAGGGGGGCGATTTTGCTCTGTTGGTCTGTCTCTCTCTCTGTCTTACCAGCAAGCACACGTGCCCTATAGCAAAAATCTCTGTATAAAAAAATAATAATTAGTTTCCTCTGAAAGCAAATATTCTTGATATCATACTTTCCAATAAGAATTTACAAAGCCAACCTGTACTAACCTTGGCAATCTGTGTATAAGCTGGATGTTCCTCTGTTGGTTTCATTATTGCTGGTTGTGTATTGGGCACATTGGGCATTTTCACACTGCCTGGTGGAGGCTAGAAAGATCAAAAAAAGAACAAATTACACAACCTGGAGATCCAACTTTAACTTCTTTCCAAAAGTATACTATCAATAAAAAGAAAAGCTCCAAGATCATCTTCTCCTCCTCTTTCATAAGCAAGTATGTGGCAGAGAGCTACTTAAACTCTTCCATTTTCTCAAACTCACATTTCATTTATCATACAATGTGCCATTACTTTAACACACTCCCACAAACACTCTCCTGGAAGATACCATATTACAAACAAACAAACAAAAATCTTTGAAGAATTTCTTTATAATAAAATACAGATAGTACCAGACTAAAGAATTACATCAAAATTTACTGTCATCTCTTCTCTTTTAAGAAAGCTATATGCAAGTGCCCTAAAAAGTATGTAGGAGAGCTATTAATAGGACCCCACTACTATCCCTTGAAAAGAATAAGAAGGGAGGCACAGAAAGACAAGAAATATACTTCACAATCTCTACCATAAAGGATCAGTAATATGTGAAAGCCACTGTAAGATGAGAAAGGAGGGACCAGCAGTTAGCGTAATGGCTATGTCGCTGGACTCCCATGTAGTCAACCGCTATTGGAGTCCCTGACCCAGTGGTTTAAACTCATGCCGGGCGCGTGTGCATGTGTGCCCAAGATCCCGAGAGGAGAATGGAGGAGAAGGGATTGCAGCGTGGCCATCCCCCCGGGGGGATGATTTCTCACTTTCTGTCTCTCTGTCTCTCTCTGTCTTTCTGGCGAGCACATGCGCCCTATAGCAAAAACCTCTCAAAAAAAAAAAAAATCAGAAAGGAGATGGATGTACAAGTCCATCAATGGGAAACTGGTTAAATTACTGTATATACATATAATTTACCCATCAAAGGAAAGCTGGAGCTATATAAAGTGCCTTTTTAATACTAAATAATAACCTCCCTTCTTCATGATTAAGACTCTCAACAAAATAGGTATAAAAAGAACATTTCTTAAAACAATAACTCATATGACAAACCCATAGTTAATGTCATTCTAAATGAGGAAAACCTGAAAGCATTTCCACTAAATAATGGAACAAGACAAAGTGGTCCACTTTTTCTACTCCTTTTCAACACTGTATTGGAAGTCTTAGTCAACACAATCAGACAAGAGAATAAAATAAAAGGCAGTCAAAATAGTAAAGGGACAATATGATTATATACATAGAAAGTCCATGAAAAAAATTCTAGAAGCAATAAATTAATTCAGTTAAGTTTCAGGATACAAGAATCAATATACAAAAACAAACAAACAAACAAAAACTCCACCATTGTCATATACCAACAACAAATGGACAGAGGCAGAATTGAAGAAATCAACCCCATTTACAATGCCCTCCCCACATACACACAAACACAAAATATCAAAACCCTAAGAGTAAATCTAACCAGAGGTGAAAGACCTCTACAAGGAAAATTGAAGAACTGAAGAAATTAAAAACAATACAAAAAAAAAAAAAAAGGACATCCCTTCTTCTTCTAGAATAATAAGAATAGCTAAAATGTCAATTCTACTCAAATGAATTTACAAATTCGATATAAATCCTGTAAAATTGCTAGTGAAATTATAAAATTAGTCTGGAATTATAAAAGAAACCGCATCACCAAGGCAATATTGTGCAAAAAGAATAAAGTTAGAAACATCTCATTATCTGACCTCAAAGTACATTACAAAACTGTAATAATCAAAACAGCATGGTACTAGCACAGACACGTAGACCAATGGTACAGAAAAGAGAATCCAGAAATAAACTTAAAAATATATAGCAATAGATCTTTTACAAAGAGCACAAGGCAATTTATTGGAGCACAGAAAGTCAAAAGACTTTTTTGACAAAATAGTGCTGGGAAAACTGTATATTTGCCTACAGAAAAATGAAACTAGATCCTTGTCTCTCACCATTAACAAAAATGAACTTAAATGTATTAAATATTTAAATATAAAGCCCCAAACCATAAAACTACTTAAGGAAAACACTAGAATAGGCAAAGATTTCTTACATTTTATCCCTAAAACATAGGCAACAACTCCAAAAACTTAAAAGTGTGATTACATCACATTGAAAAGCTTCTATACAGCAAAGAAAACAATAAATAAAGATACAACATACAAAATGGGAGAAAATATTTGCAAAATATAATTTAGATAAGGGATTAATAACCAGAATATAGAGACCATCAGATGGCCCAGTGGTTAGATCACTAAATTCCCACATAGTCAACTGAGGTTTGAGTCCCAGATCTGGCAGCTTAAAGCTAATGCTGGGTGAGTTTGCGTGCATACCCATAGCCCCAGGAGGAGAATGGAGAAGGGTTTGAGGTATGGCCATCGCCCCTCCAGGGGGGTTATTTCTTGCTTTCTATCTCTCTGTCTCTCCAGCGAGTGCATGAGCCATATAGTGAAAATCTCCCCCCAAAAAACAGAATATATAGGGAACTCAAGAAGCTCATCCCCAAGAAAAACAAATAATCCAATTTAAATATGGGTAAATAATTTGAACAAACAATTCTCAAAGGAAGACATACAGATGGCCAAAAGCATATGAAAAACTGTTCAATGTCTCGTATCATAAGGGAAATGCAAATCAAAACCACAAGCAGGTATCACCTAACCCTAGTCAGAATGTCTAGGATCAAAAAAGCAAAGAACAGTACCAGCAGATGGTGCATGGTTACATCGCTGGATTCCCACATAGTTGACTGTGGTTTGAGTCCCAGACCTGGTGACTTAAAACTCACACTGGGTGCATGTGTATGTGTGCTCAAGATCCCAAGAGAAGAATGGAGGAGAAGGGATTGCGATGTGGCCATTCCTCCCTGGGGGCTGATTTCTTGCTTTCTGTCTCTCTCTGTCTCTCCAGCAAGTGCACACATCCTGTAGCAAAAAATCCCTCGCAGGGAAAAAAGAAAAGCAAAGAATAACAAGTGTTTGTAAAATTTTGGAAAAAAAGGGAACCCTCATGCACTGCTGGTGGGAATGTAAACTAGTATGTCCACTGTGCAAAATGACAGCAACTTCTGAAAAACTTACAAAAAGAACTACCACATAACCTAGTGATCCATTATACCATCCCTGGATATTTACTCAAAGTACAGGAAATAACTCTGTCAGAGAGACAATTGCACATGCATGTTTACCACAGCATTATTCACAACAACTAAGACAAAGAATCAACCTAAGTATTGAACTGGTGACTGGATTAAGAAAATATGGCACATACACATAATGGAATACTATTCAGCAATATAGAACAACAAGATCCTATCATTTGATATTAAGTGGGCAAATCTAGAAGATTTAATGCTAAGTGAAATAAACCAGATGGTATGGCCCCATTTAACCTACATCAACTGTCTACACTTTGTGACAGAAATTGAAAGATTTAAAGACATAGACGTAGAGAGGGCAACTGTAGATACCAGAGACTACATGAGGAATGAGGGGTAGTTGGGAGAAGGAACTCAGGAAAAAATGTTTACCAGACAAGAATGCATATAAATAAGAAAAAATGGATTATGAAACAACATACCAAAACAGAGCTAAAAAAAAAAGAAAAAAGGAGGGGTATTGCCAATCTGTGTTATATATAGATTATAGAGATAGAGGTATAATTAGTAGAATGAAAATCAAATGTACACAACATAATGTTCTTTATTAAAGATGTTGATACAGTAATATGCATAATTTGATTATCACATATTGCATGCATGCTTTGAAAAACCATTGTACTTCACAAATATGTATAACAAATATAAATAAGAAATTATAAAATAAAGAAATACTAAATAAAAGAAAAAGACAAGGGGCCTGTAGGTGGCACAGTGGTTAAGGCACTGGTCTGCCACATGACCAACAATGCTTTGAGTCCCAGACCTGGTGGCCTGAAAATCACACCAGGCATGTGTGTGCGTGTGTGTGTGTGCGTGTGTGTGTATCCAAAATCTCAAGAGGAGAATGGAGAAGAAGGGATTGAGGCATGGTCATCCCTATTGGGTCATGATTTCTCACTTTCCTTCTCCCTGCCTCTCTCTGTTTCTCTCTGGTGAGCACATGTGCCCTAGAGCAAAAACCTTAAAAAGAAAGAAAGAAAGAAATGAAAAAAAAAGTGATGGCTGCATGATTCTATGATTATGCTAAAATGTTTGCATTCAACACTTTAAATGGATTTATCACATATTAATTATATCTCAATAACTGCAATAATTCTGTTAACATGAATAAATTTTTTATGATTTTTTCTGAAGATGCAAGAAATAACTTTTTTTTTATTTCATATAATCAAAATAATAAATAATGATCCCGGAGAAAGGAGAAAAAACTGATGATGTAGACAAGTAACAGTTCAGCAAAGCTCTTTAGGTGAGAGTGGACAGGATCTAGAGTACCCAGAGGGACTGGCGTCAAAGCACAGAGCAAAAGAGCAGAGCATTTGGGGACAGATGCTGGCAGGCAGGTGTATGTGGTGGCAGAGGGCTGTGCATATTCTCTGATGACTGCTTCGGTTTTGTCAGAGAAGCAGGAAGTCAGGCCATCAACTGAGAGTGAGCATGGAGAAGAGATTTTTGAACATGAGAAGGGAGGAGGAGGAAAGTAAGGAAATAAATGGACTAAGATAGTAAAGGTGATCGTGAGCTGAAAGTGAGACTGTTCAGCATGGTTGTATGTGCTCCTTCAATCTGATTAGCTGCAAGGGTAGGGATAAAGACTTGGATTAAACAAAATTGTTTGAGTTTTAGCCAAGGGAGTTTATCAAAGTAAGCGAGAAAGGGGAAGGCAAGGGAGTGGAGGATGCATGCAAGGCGGTGATTCCAATGACTAAATGCACAATTTTAGCTGAAAGAGGAGAACAAGAGGTGAATAATGAACAGAGAGTAGGATTAACAAACTAGATGCACTGAAGTAACTCAGACATGTGCTGAAATTAAAAAGCTAGGGCCGGCAGGTGGCGTGGTAGTTAAGGCAGCTGGACTCCCACAGAGTTGA